CTCTCAAAATAATAATAATAATAATAATAATAATAATAATAAAAACAAAGAAACCTATACACCGCTGCATGCAACTATTAAATTAATCAGGTCTACCCACCTACATGAATTAGTTATTTTGGAGAGGCTAAAATATTTTTTAGATTTTATTGCTTAGGTATAAATGTACTAAGAAAATACAAAGTAAAAACAGCCTTGCTTTTATATGGAAAGGGGTCTATTCACTACTTCACTAGCCATTTGTTGGGAGGGTAAGAAGAGTCCTTTCAGAGTAGAAGTTTCTACTCTAACCGGAGCATAAAGATAAACAGTCTGTTTAAGAATCAGATCTGATTACCATGTCACATTTAAAGAGACATTTAAACATGATTGTGGGGCGCTTGGCTGGCTTGGTCGGTGGAGCATGTGATTCTTGATCTCAGGGTTGTAAATTCAAGCTCCATGTTGGGTATAGAGACTATTTAAAAATAAAATCTTTAAAAAAACCATGGTTGGAAAGAACTATCTGACATTGCGACTGCTAACTACATAGTCACAGGAAGAATGAAAAATATATAGAAAGATTCTTAATAAGTAGGAGGCTTATCAGATTTATGGGACATGCTTGGAATGTGAAGCTCCTAAGTGCTGATTACAGGAGAGTCTTAATTATGTCATATAGTTACCTAATAGCAATTTCCAATAAATGCCAATGTATGTTCTAGTGGCTTTGCTTGAGAACTATATATGTATATATTTTTTAATTATTTATTTTGAGAGAGAGAAAGAGAGAGAGGGTATGAGTAGGGGAGGGGCAAAGAGAGAGAGAATCCCAAGTAGGCTCTGCACTGTCCGCACAGAGCCCCATGCAGAGCTTGATCTCATGAGATCATGACCTGAGGGGAAGTCGGATGTTTGACTGAGCCATCCAGGCACACCTGAGAGCCGTGTGTGTGTGTGTGTGTGTGTGTGTGTGTGTGTGTTTTAATGTTTACTTTTGAGAGAGAGTGTACAAGCAGGGGAGGGGCCGGGGGGGGGTGGTGGTACAGAGGATCTGAAGCAGGCTCCAAGCTGACAGCAGACAGCCCGACGTGGGGCTCAAACTCACTAGCCGAGAGATCATGACCTGAGCCAAAGTCAAACGCTTAACCGACTGAGCCGCCCAGGCATCCTGAAAACCACTAGTTTAATTGAAAACTAATTTCATTTCACTGTAACACGTGCAGTAGAGTCCTGTAAATATTGGAACATACGTTGGTGTTTTTTTTGCAGAGTTGGTCAAACGTCATGCTGGGGTGCTAGGACTCGGTGCGTGTGTTCTTTCTAGTCCTTATGATGTTCCCACCTGGATGCCCCAGCTCCTTATGAATCTCAGTGCACATCTAAATGATCCGCAGCCTATTGAGGTAAAATCTTTCTTGTTAGTTTCTTTGCATGCGTATTATATCAGTGATGTTTTGTAAGAAATCATTTATGCTGATAATTTCCCATTCACTCTGGACCTTCAGCTATGATAAAACTGCTGCTGCTACTACCTCTGCCAGGGCTAAGCCTGCTCATCAGTGATTATTAAAATCTTGCAGAGGCCTTGCTTTTGTGTATATTTGAGATCTTTTGGTAGCAAGGAAAATACTATAGCTTCTGTCTCTCCCAGTTCAGTGGAAGTAAAATACTGTCAATGTTGTCTGGATAGTTAATCTTTATACTTCACTAACATTTTATACCTAGGAAGTATCTAACTGGGAGCTAATATTAAACAGGAAATTGTGATGGTAGTATTCATGAATAACTATGTACCTAAATAGCTGAAAAGGTCAATGACTTTGTCCTTTTCACCTTGGTAAATAGATGTAGGTGTATATTCAAACTGGTTTAATAATGCAGTGTAAGTTCCAGGGGCTTGTCCTAAAGTGCAGCTCATAGTTTTAAAGAAGTGAGCTTGGTGGCTTTGCCAAGTTCCATTTGGCTTGTTAGTTTTGCAGCACTCAGTTAAGTGTGTAGATCTGAAGTCTAGAGGGATCTTTACTTAGTTATCCTAAACACTAACTAGGATAACTAAACACATATGTATCCTAAACACATAACTATCCTAAACTAGTTATCCTAGTTTTTCAGAGGTTAAAATAAAATGTGTGTGGGTTGCCTACTCTACAGATGACTGTAAAAAAGACCTTATCCAATTTCCGAAGGACGCACCATGACAACTGGCAAGAACACAAACAGCAATTCACAGATGACCAGCTGCTTGTTCTCACCGATCTCCTTGTGTCACCATGCTATTATGCATAGAAGGGTGAGTCAGCAAAATTGAGATTAAAGAAGTCTGGCATCCCCAGGCAGATGTCATTGGTTTGGTGATTGGGAAGTAGGTTTTCCTAAGTTTTTTCCTTTTTCTGACATTCTTAGATGTCACTGTTTAGATTTAAAATATATATATGACTTTTGCTATCACCAGTGGAAGTAAGTTTCCAGAAAATTCTTCCTTGTTTCTCTGCTTCGGGTATTAAGCAGAGAATTGATGTGACTGCTTTTGGACCTTTATAAATGAGAAGGCTCAGTAGCCTGGGAATGGTTAGTTAAGAGAAATTGTGTTCTTACTTGCCTCCTGCGTGGGGCCTAGGCACTCTGGGTTGCCCCAAGGACCTTAGGTACTGTACAATTATGAGAACATTTCATCTGTATTCTTAAGTTTTTTGTTTTTTGTTTTTTGTTTTCATCCTGAATTAAAGATGAGAACCCAGAAACCTTTCCACTGGGATAAGAAGAATAAAGAAAATCTCACTTCTTGCATGTTCTGTTGTCTAACTGAAATTTTTTTCCTCCCTGATACAGATGAGTAGTCCTCACTTCAAGCTCTTTTCATCAAAAATTCCAGATCCTCAGGTACCATCTGTGGTGGCTCTCTGCAGGTTTTTAAACCCCGCCTCTGCTGAGCTCTCATCGGTTTGGTGGTTTCTGTGTTTAGTCACATTAGTCTACGTTCCACAGGCTCTCAGCTGCCATTTGATTACCTACCTTGTCTGGAAGTATCTCCAGAATACTGAACACTTTTTCTTTGAGGCATCTGACAAAGCCACAGTGTCTCAGACTAGAAATAATTACCCAATATGATCATGGCATCCAAGAACAAACAGAGTCTAGGAAATCATTAAGAAACAATTTACTTGTAATGGAGAATACCTGTCTTTAATACAGGTCCTGTCATTTCACTCATCTCAAATTATTTTGAATTTTTTCCAAATGGCTGTTGGGTGTAGATGGTAGTAGGGCTGCGGGCCATAAATCAAAGCCTGAGAGCTTTGGGTCTGGAGAGCCATGAAGAGGGAAGTAAGAGAGCCAAGTTTGGAGCCTAACCAAGGACCTGATGGATCACTCCACCAAGACACAGAAGTGAAGTCTTTGTCCACGGTCTTCCTACAGACTGGAATTTTTGGTGCTGATAGAGCAGTTGCTGAAAAACTGGGGGTTTGGTGAATAAATTTTTGATTAATTGTTGTGCGTGTATACAATGTGTGATTTTGAAAATAAACAACAACAACAACAAAAACCCTGACTGATTGATTTTTACCTGTATTCTTTGCATATACTATTGAACCCTCTTTGAAAACTGTTATACATCACCTAATGGAAAACTGCTGTGTATGTGGAAATTTCGTAATTTTCTTTCTTTTTTGTTTTTTTTCTTTTTTCTTCTTTTTTTTTTTTTTTTTTTTTTTTGCCTGCAGAATCGTTGAGAGACTGAGTCTTTATATTTAATTGACTTGTTTAATAAATGTTATATAGATGTAAAAGACTGTATAAACTGTAGAGATAGCATTGGCAAGACTTTGTACAGATGCAACCTTTTACACAGCACCTGTGTGTAATTAATTTGTAAAGATTCACATGTAGCTCTTTATTATAGTAAATTTTGGCTTTTGTACCAATTGAATGCTATTTTTTGTGTTTTTAAATTATTTTCTCTATCTTTTCATGTTACAAAAGCTGAGGTGTGGGGTTTTTGTTTGAGTTCACTTATCGTTAGAATGTCTGGATTTTTATGTAATTTTTTGTGTGCATCCTTAAATGCAAACACCACATGTTTGCCTGTGACAAGTTTATAGAATGCAAGGTATCTTCTAGGTTAAAGTAATTCACAAGTTGGTGAATGTCATCTTGGAACACACCCTGTACAGTCTTCCTTAAAGGAACACTACAGTATATTTTTTAGTATCTACTTGCTGAATGACTCGATACAGACCTAAGCACAGCAGAGGTCCCGGTATAGTATTGAATTGTCAGCATACACAGGCCTAATCCCTGTATAGAGTAGTGCCAAACTGATGATTTCAATTGTGTAACTAGTTTAAAACCCAATAAATGGATTGTTTTTAACATCTGGCTTTTGTCTTCATTAAGAAGAGAAGACAGTTTTCTAGGCAGTGACTCTCATGGATTCCTTTTCCATCCATAGATCTGGATCCATAAATTCATGCCCTCTAACCAAAATGAATTACCTAAACCAGACCTGTCTAGTATAGTAGCTAATAGCTACATATGACTATTTACATATAAATAAAATTTCATTTCTTCAGCCTCTATGGCCACTTGTGGCTAGTAGTTTACCTTACTGAGTAGCGCAGATGAATGTTTTTATCACAGAAAGTTCGGTTGGACAGCACTGGTCTGGTCTAGATCATTGGTGATCTAGATGTGTCTAAGAATGTATCTAAGAATCACATGCGGATTTTGTTAAAATGTGAATTTTAATTCATGCTGCTAGCTCATGATATTGATGCCTGGCCCTCACACTTTGAATGGTGAGGCCTTACATTATATTAACCACTTGAGATTTTTCTAAACAAGCTGCATGAAACTATGCCTTAGCAAGGTTCCTAAAGTAGGAACTTTTTTTTTTTCTCAATGTATGAAATTTATTGTCAAATTGGTTTCCATACAACACCCAGTGCTCATCCCAAAAGGTGCCCTCCTCAATACCCATCACCCACCCTCCCCTCCCTCCCACCCCCCATCAACCCTCAGTT